GCGATATCTAAAAGAAAAGACAAGCGCAGGCAGATGGTCCTAGAAAAGGACCTGTTCACGCCCTAAATCATGGTGGTCCCTTTACCTAAAGGCTTCAAGCAGCCTATGATAGAGGCTTACGACGGGGTCACAGATCCGCTTGACCATCTGCGGACCTTCGTTGATCTGATGAGACTCTATGCAGCACCCGATGCGGTAATGTGCCGGTCTTTTCCCCGACTCTCAGGAGGGAAGCCAGAAACTGGGTGGCAACACTTGCCTCCTGGTCTATCCGAATATTTGATGAACTTTCTAAGAGCTTTGTAGCCTACTTCCTGAGTAGCAAGAGAAAGAGGAAGACAGCCATTGGACTGATGCAGGTGATCTAGGAGAAAGATGAGTCTCTGCAGGAATATTTGGCCAGATTTAGCCGTGCGACCCTTGGAATAGAGGACCTTCAGATGTCGACGGTGGTGATTGCGTTGATGAATGGAACTCGGAACCAGGCTTTTAAGATGTCACTTTCCAAGAACCCCCCAAAATCAATGCACGACCTATTGAAAAAGGGAGACAAGTATGTTGATGCTGAGGAAGTGGAGAAGGTCACAAAGAACTTCAGAGAGGAATGGGAAGTAGAAAGTCACAAGCGCAAGGCGGGGGACGAGCTAAGACCTGCCAACAAAAATAGGCCAAGGAGTAAGCAGATGGTTAAAGGGGCCGCCCAAGATCGGCTAGCCAGGCACAAACGAGAGGAGTCCAGGGTGTTCACCCCTTTGAACACCCCACGTGCCAAACTATTGATGGAAATACGAGAAATGAAAGAGCTAGAATGGCCGAGACCCATGGTAACGCCAGCGGGCAAAAGAAATCAGGGCAGATATTGTCATTTCTACAAGGATCATGGGCATGATACTGAAGAGTGCCTGCAACTGAAGGAGGAGATCGAGCACCTCCTAAGGCGGGGTCTCCTGGGCAAGTATGTGAAGGACAACCTCGGGAAGCAAAAGATGGAGGACCGTTCCCCACCTAGGGCCGGAGTGATAAACATGATTACAGGAGGGTTAGCAGGAGAGGGAGATTCAAATTCGGCAAGGAAAAGCTACGCACACTCTATCTAGATCTGCTCCATCCAAAAGAAGGCAAGGAAGACTTGGTAGGCGTGGCGAGGAAGACTTGGTAGGCGTGGCGCACCCCCATATGATACCCTAGTAATAGTAGGCGACATAGCTGATTTTGACGTCAAAAGAATATTGGTCGACGGGGGAAGTGCCTCAAATGTACTCACCTGGGATGCTTTTTTAGGCCTGAAGGTCCCACCTAACAAGTTAAAAATCGTGAACACCCCCTTGCAAGGCTTTGGAGGAGCCACGGTGATTTCAGAAGGTATTGTGGAGCTCCTAGTCACGCTAGGCACATATTCGTCCACTGTGGTAATTGTGGCAAGTTTTTGGTCATTAAGACCCCCATGGCCTATAATGCAATCTACGGTCGGTCGTTACTCAACGCAGCTGGGGTCATCCTCTCGACCTATCACTAGTTCCTGAAATTCCCAACCAACAGGGGAGTCGGGTGTGTGAGGGGGGATCAGCAAGCATCCAGGAAATGTTATGTCGACAGTATATCAGTCAAAAGAGCCCCATCAGTCATGATGTTAGAAGTTGAACTTCCGAGAGGACGGATTGAGCCACTTAACATGATCGAAAAGATTTCCATAATGGAGGGTCGGGAGGTCAGCATCGGGGCCGAGTTGGACTCTGACGAAAAAAGAAAGCTGGTGAGGTGCCTGACAGACAACCTAGACATCTTTGCATGGAGCCCAAGTGATATCACTGGGGTCAACCTAGCACTCGCTCAGCATTGCCTTGGAGTTCTACCCGAAGCCAAACCAGCAAAGCGGAAGAAAAGGAACCTCGCCCCCGAAAGGCAAGAAATATCAAGGGCAGCAGTGGAAAAGCTACTGCAAGCAGGTTTCATCCGAAAGTTACGGTACCCTGAATGGTTAACCAACATTGTGCTAGTAAAACAGTCAAATGGGAAGTGGTGCATGTGCGTAGATTACACTAGATTAAATAAGGCATGGCTTAAGGACTCATACCCGCTCCCATGGATAGACTACCTCGTCGACGCCACGTCGGGTCACGAGAGGCTCAGCTTCCTGGACGCTTTCTCGGGGTATCATCAAATCTCTATGGCTGAGTGCGACCAAGAGAAGACGTCATTCATCACAATTCTGGAACCTACTGTTACACTGCCATGCCTTTCGGCCTAAAGAATGCAGAGACAACTTACCAAAGGATGGTGAATAGGGTCTTCCAGGAGTTGATTGGAAATGTCATAGAGGTCTACGTCGATGATATGGTAGTAAAAAGTAGGGCTGGGCAAATCTCTCGAACCGAACCGACCGAACCGAACTCGAACCGAACTGAACCGAACCCGACGGTTCTTGTCAAATTAAATACCCGAACGGGTATCTGAATTGAGAACCGACGGGTACGGTTCGATTCTCGGTTCTAGAACAAGAACCGAATAAAAATCGAATCTTTCTAATTTTTTTTATATTGAGTAAATCAAATTATTTTAATTTTAATTTTTTCTAAACAAATTAACAAATTAACAATTTCTCAATGTAAATTCTTGGCTCAATAATTTGTTTCATTTCTAATTTTTAAAATTTTTGGCCCAATTACCCATTTTATTGTTTCATTTCTTAGCTCAACAAGATCCAATCCACTAAATAACCCTAAACATCTACACTAAAGTGCATAACGTTGTCTCGACTCTTGCATTCACTCTCGCAGCCTCGCTAATAGTTCAAAACCTATACAATCATCGATCGACACTGTGACCTCCGATCGAAGCTGTGACCTCCACTGATCGAAACTTTGACTGTAGCGATCATTTGAACAAGGTAGTCTATTAGTCTCTGACATTCCAAAACCATTGAATGTATCATTAGTTGTATTTATATAATGTTGTTATAAATGTTAAAAAAATTTAATTATAGTACGAAATCGAACCGAACCGAACCGAACTAAACCGAATGGAACCGAACCCGTATGGTTCCATAATTATATTTGGACCCGACGGTTCCATTTACTAGATACCGGAAAATTTTGATTCGATTCGATTCTAAAGAGAACCAAATCGAACCGACCCGCGCCCACCCCTAGTAAAAAGTATTAAGGTCATCGACCACGTGGACTGTCTACAGAGAGTGTTCGACATAGCCCGACAGAATAATTTGAAATTCAATCCCGAGAAATGTGTTTTTGGTACAGCCGGTGGAAAGTTCTTAGGTTTTATGATCACCCGGTGAGGTATTGAGGTGAATCCCGACAAGATACATGCAATAATTGAAATGAGAAGCCCCACTAGTAGAAAGGAGGTCCAGCGGCTGACAGGGCGTGTGGCAGCCCTTAATCATTTAATGAGCCGGGCAGCGGATAAGTGCTACCATTTCATTAAAGCTATTGGGGGCTCTACAAATTTTGAGTGGACTCAAAAGTGCGAGGAGTCACCGAAATCCTTGAAGAGGTCACTCCAGCAGCCTCCTATATTGACCAGCCCATGCCCTGGGGACGTACTATGTCTCTACCTCACAGTGTCGCTACGGGCAGTCAGTGCAGTTCACGTAAAGGAATTCCCTAAGGCACAGAAACCAGGCTACTATGTTAGTCAAGTCCTCAAAGGCGTAGAGACAAGGTACCGTTTGGCCGAAAAACTGGTGCTCGCATTGATCGTTGCGGTCAGAAAATTGAGGCCTTATTTTCAGTCCCATACGGTACAAGTAATGACCGACCAACCCATCAAACAGATCCTACATCGACCAGAGACATCCGGAAGACTGCTGAAATGGGCAATTGAAATGAGTGAATTTGACATTGAATTCAAGTCAAGGACCGCCATCAAAGTGCAGGCTCTGGCAGACTTCATTGCTGAGCTCACCACCCAAGCAGAACCCCCGAAGGGCAAAAGATAGATTGGAAGGTTTTTGTGGACGGTTCTTCAAATACGGAAGGATCAGGGGCAGGAATTATAATGATTGGGCCAGACTCCGAGGAATTGGAATACTCACTGCGGTTTGAGTTTCCCGCCACTAACAACGATGCTGAGTATGAAGCAGTAATCACAGGCCTAGGTCTGGCAGCTAGGCTGGGGGTGTCTTCGGTAAAGGTTTGCAGTGACTCACAGCTGATAGTTGGACAGGCGTCGGGGAAATATGAGGTTAAGGATAGGAAGATGGCAACCTACCTGATGAAAGTAAGGGATCTGCATAGGGGGTTCGCAAGCTTTAGGATGACAAAGGTCCCACGAAAGGAAAATGAACGGGCAGACGCGTTGGCGAAACTCGCATCGGTAAACCTAAGAAATCTGCCCCGAACAGCGAACATGCAAGTCTTACAGCAACCCAATGCTGGGTTGAGGTGAAAAATATTGAGTACACGGAAAGCAGGATGGATCCGTTAATCAAATATCTCACAGAAAACAAAACACCGGAAGATTCCTTTGAAGTAAGAAGGTTGATAGCTCGGGCAGCCTCATTCACCATCATTGATGACAAACTTTACAAGCGGGGTTTCACCATGCCATATCTGAAGTGCATATGACCCTCGGAGGCTAAAGAGATACTGTTTGAGGTACATACTGGGATTTGCGGTAACCACCAAGGGGCAACATCCCTTGCTTTCAAAATTCCACGGTAAGGTTACTATTGGCCAACCATGAAAAGAGATGCCAAAGAATTAGTAAGAAAATGTGACACATGTCAACAACACGAAAATTTGATCCACGTACCAGCCGAGCAACAGGCAGCCATTTTTGGGGTGTGCCCATTTTTTCAGTGGGGGATGGACATTTTAGGTCCTTTACCTTTAGCCAAGGGGCAAAGGAAGTTTTTGCTGGTCGCCATCGACTACTTCACCAAGTGGGTAGAGGCAGAACCACTTGCGACCATCACGACTGCAAAATTACAGGGTTTTGTATGAAAAAATATAGTATGCCGATTCGGGATACCCAGGGTAATGGTGATAGATAACGACAGACAATTTGACAATCATAGCTTTAAGGCTTTTTGTGCAAGTTATCACATCGACCATAGATTGACTTCGGTCGCTCACCTACAATCGAACGGGCAAGCTGAAGTGAGCAACCGAGTCATTCTCTGGGATCTAAAGACCAGATTGAAAAAGGAGAAGAGGCTTTGGGCAGATGAGCTTCCCAATGTGCTGTGGGCGTACCACCCAACTCCACGAGAGCCGACCGGGGAGACACCATTCAAACTAACCTTCGGGATGGAAGCCATAGTCCCAGTTGAAATTTTGAGTGAGACAGGCAGGATGAAAGTCAGACAGCCCGATGACACCACGACCAGAGGAGAACTCGACCTACTAGAAGAAGCAAGGGAGAAGGCGGCAATAAAAATGATAGCCTATAAATGGGGAGCCGCCGAATACTTCAATCGGAGAGTGAAATCAAGAATCTTTCAACCAGGGGACCTCGTGTTAAAAGACGCGACAGCAGCAGGACACCCCCAACAAAACTCGGACCAAACGGGGAAGACCCATATGAAGTGATCCGCAGCCTAGGAAAGGGGGCTTATAGCTTGAAAGACATGAAGGGACAACCACTGAGTAGACCGTAGAACGCAGAGCATCTCAAAAAATACTACCAGTAGATTTTAAAATAGACGCATGGGCTACGTTTTTGTAAATACAGTAGATAGATTGCCTTGTTAATTCTCTCTATGTAATGCCTCACGAAGGCACCCTTAGTTGCATTTGTTTATTCAATAAAAAACCTTAGCAGTAGCAAGTGATGAGGACACTAAGGAAGGGCTAGCCTAGCTGGGACGTCCCAGTGCGCCTACTGAGCTCATGAATTCTAGTACTTTTATATATCGATATGCAGTCTCAGACTCCCCCTCATCCCATGAAGACATACGGTCGACATAGCCTATGCGGCTAGGTGGAGAGCCTTAACAAGCCAAAAATTGGCTAAGTTCCTTAACCGCTAGACCCCTCTCCTAACGGTCGACATAGCCTACGCGACTAGGCGGAGAGCCTTAACAAGCCAAAAATTGGCTAAGTTCCTTAACCGCTAGACCCCTCTCCCGACGGTCGACATAGCCTACGCGGCTAGGCGGAGAGTTTTAACAAGCCAAAAATTGGCTAAGGCCCTTAACCGCTAGACCCCTCTCCCGACAGTCGACATAGCTTATGCGGCTAGGCGAAGAGCCTTAACAAGCCAAAAATTAGCTAAGGCCATTAACTACTAGACCCCTCTCCCGACGATCGACATAGCCTACGCGACTAGGCACGGGGAAACACAAGGCTAAAATTGGCTAGGGTCATCGACCATTGAACTCTAGCCCGATAAAAAGTCATTCCCCCGCACCATCAAACAGTGAAAGGAAAAAGAAGAGGGCCACACGAGAGACGGCAAGTTGTAAGAACAATGCACTCAACACTAATAATGGCGAACGAAAAATGTATTTATACATATGAGAAACTCTTGCCCACATCCCGGACAAGTAGGAGATAATGAGACTAAACAAAAGTAAACACGAAAATGGAAAAGCTAGTAAAGGGAACAACAACTAAGAAATGCTTCAGCTCGAAGGGGAGACATCCCCACTACCACCTCGTGATGAACGTCCAAGCGACCTAGATGACTGTGCTCCACTCTCCTTTCCCTTGCGCTGCGCAAGAAATCTATCTAGACTAGAGGGGTCTATAGAAGGATGCTCGACCATAATCCACTCCTTGGAGAGTTTGATAGACGCTGCCATCGCCTTCCCCCCATATGAATTCAAAGCCTTAGCATAATCAGACGACGTCTTATACTGCTCCACAAATGCTTCGAGATCTCTGGCATACTCAACTGAGGCCTTATACCTCTCAATCGCCTCCTCCGGAGCGCGAGCCAAAACAGAACGCAAGTTGTCATTCTCCGTCTCCTGCTCGCGAGCATGAGCATCCAACGTCTCCAGAGATTTCTTCAATGAGGATATCTTTTTCTTGTAGTGACGAGCCTCGTTTTTCTTTTCTTCAGTAAGAGTCTTCAACTTCGAGGCCAGGCGACGATTCGATTTAGCGAGTCTAGTCCGGAGAGCTACCACCTAAGAAATGAGGGGGTAAAATAAAAGTCAAGCATTAAAACCAAGCTTAAAAGGCAAGACCCAACATAAAAGAAAATGTGAAATTGGAAACGTACCCTTTGGAGATAAACAGCCGCAGCCCTTTCAATGTCGTCTGCACTACGCCCTACAATTGCTCTAGATCGAGCGGACGTCACCAAAGACTTGAGCACCCCCATCTCATGATAGCCCCGGGTGGGAGGAAACCCGAAGTGGGAAGTGAATCCTTGCGCTCACACGGTGCACGGCTGGAAGCACCCGACCTAGGAGCTGTAGCCACCTCACGAGGCTCGTCTGGAGGCTGGGAGGTCTCGTTGATCGCCCGAGACCTCCCCCTTGATCGGCCACCCTCCTTCTTTTTGAAGGGATAGGTGATGGATCCGCTCTTGGTCGGGCATGGAATCTATGATTCCTTCAAAATCAAGCTCTGTCCCTGCACGTATAAATTAGAATCCGTTAAGATCGCAAGGTAGAAGAGCATGAGGATACCAAAAAAAAGGGAGGTAAACACAAAAGCTTACCATCAACGGGAGCAGGGCCCTCATCGCCTCCTGGCAAGGTCATCAATACCTCATCAAGATCAAAGTCCAAATCTGTATGTACACACCCAAACTCATTAGTCCCGAAAAACTAAAAGCAAAAAAATAATAAGTGAACGTGTGTGCATGCGATAAAAAAACTGACAGAAACAACCTACCAATAGGACGACTCATCCCCCACTATCAACATGTTCTTCATGGTCAAGACTAGTCCTAAGTCAGGTGCGAGAGGTAGTACATCAACTAACTCTTGGATTTGAGCTTTTAGAAAGGGGGTAACTTCTACTTGGCTATTGAATAGACGAATTTGGTGGTGTCACCAATTGGTATTGAAAGAGAACCGACCTGCTGAAGGCCTAACAAAGAAGAACCGAGATTTCCATCTGCTATTCGAATTTCTAAATTTAGGAAATTGAAAGGAACTCTGGTGGTAAAATAGACGTATGCATTATACTGAACTAGCTCATGCATTTCGAAGACACACCTGAAAAGGTCTATGGAAAGTGATATTTTCCTTTTGAGACAAACATATAGGAAATATAACGCCTTTCTCCACGTGTTGGGATTAATTTGACTAGGAGTAAGGTGAAGCTCATTAAAAATCGACACAAAAAAAGGGATGAATGGGGAACCGAAAACCCCCGTCCATAACATCATTGTACACGGCTACCTCACGGGGGTCGGACCCAGGGAGTCTTTCTTTCGGACCGGGGGCTCTATAGACGTAATCATCAACCCGGTTATACTTACCTAGACATTGTTCCAACTTAAGTGAGGAATTGTAAAGACTATAACTTTTTAGGATATCTAGGGGGACAACCTCACCAGCCAGGTCTCGCCCAATTTCTAAGTTTTGGTTTGGAAATTTGGTAGAATTAATGTGCCTCTTTGAGGAATTTGGGACAAACGCCTGAGAATCAATTGAATGAGTTTCACTATCAATATCATAAAGAGATCTACCGGACAAAGGGGGCGAGTCACTAGCGAGTCGGGTGGAGGGGCCGGATGGGCCATGAAGCTTAGGAGAAGCCAGGGGACGACCAGCCCAAAGGCCGGCTATCGACCAGTGGGGTCGATCGGACCCCCTCCGGTACTCTCCGACGAAGGTCTGGTCGAGTCACCACACCCCCCATCACTATTCTCATTGGAAGGAGAAGAAAGAATAGTCTTATACATGGCAACAACAAAAAAAAAGATGAAGAGAACAAATTCAAAGCAAGACTTTAGATTAAAAAAGAGAGAAAATTACCTTAGAAGGGAGAAAGCCGAGGATGTGGAAAGAAAATGAGAGTGATTCTTTGAAATAGAAATCACCCCCCTTTTATAGACACAAGAATTCAAACTTTGGGG